ATCCTGGGACTTGAGGCCTGAGCTCAATGAGACAGCCCACACTTCCCTAATCACAGATGACGTCATCCAGCAGCCTGTTGCACAGACCTGGTGTTAAACCCAGGACGTTGTTTTTCACAGGCAGCCAGAGGGAGCTCTCTGAAAGACAAATCTGACGGCTCATGAACCTTTCCCAGCCTGTCCCCACTACATCCATTATGACTCTGGTGCCTCTTAGAGTCTTGAAAATAGGACGATAACCCTCCCAGAAGGCTCTGCATTCCAGGCTGCACAGTCTCAGTCTGTCCCCCTCAGCAACCTTGTCCTCACCCACCACCCAGAAACCCGTCCTTCCTGAGACTGTAGCACCCAGGCTGGCTTCGACCTCAGCATCCTTCTTCCACTCACCTAGGCAGTCTCTCACATGATCTTCCTCCTGGTGTGTATTATTGCCAGAAAGTAGGGGCAGTGGGGAGAAAGGGAAGAGGAGGGAGGCATTTTAAAGTCTGGTTCTCCACTAGAACTCAGAGGGCGGGCGGCTGTTTTTCCTGGAGACAGTAAACTCTCATCTGGTGCAGCCTCCAGCACACAGCACTCCTAGAGTATCAATAGCATGGACTCTTTCTGCAGAGTCTGCCCGGGCTTGCTACACATGGCTGTCTGTCTTTGTCACAGCACCAACTTGTCCTAGCCAGGAGCCCACAGCTGCGTCTCCACAAGCCTCTTACAGAGGAGCTGGGAGAAGTTTTGCCATTCATGAAATACGTCGTGCGTTAGCATGCGTGCGCACATATGCGCATGTGCACACACCCACTAAGGGGAACATAGAAGGGGAAGGGCAGGAGAAAGAAGACAACTTCTGTTGTTGGGTTTGAGTAAGGAGCCAGAGAATGCCTTTCTGGGGACACGCCATGGATATATTCACGGATGTGAATGTCAGTACCCGCTGGGGAGCTTGGACTTGGGCAGGAACACTGAGACTCACGCTGGTGCTCATGTCTGCTTTCTCATTTGTCCTCTCCGAGGCCTTGTGTGGATGAAGAAACCATTTAGAGACTCAGCTTAAGGATTTACCCAGGGCCCTGCAGGTGGAGAGACAGCAACTCAAAGTCGTCTGATGACTTGTCCTGTTCACCAGGTCTGGATAGCACATAAAATGACAGTGAAAATTCCTGTCCCCTTAACCATAATTCTAAGTATCACTCACTTCCATAAAACTCAAGTGTGGCAGAGAGATTCATTTTTAGTTAGGTCTCTGCCTTTAGTAAATGAGGGATTGGTGTGGTTTGCAATAGTAAATTCAGTTTCACATTAAGGGAGAACATCCATTATGGCTCCTGGCACCCCTCAGCCACTCCGAATCTACCAGCAGGCCTAACAGCGGTTTCCTCCAGTGGAGCAGAGTCAACTTCATGTATCATCTCTTTGTGTTAATTATAAGGATTCGAGTCTGCAGCACTAATTAATCAGTAATTAGATAGTACTGTACCAAAAGAAATTAACAAAGATAAAAACAAAAGCACCACTCAGCACGAGGCTGTAGTCTGATAACTTGATCCAAATTCTTAAGAGATCTGGATGAAGTGATCACAAGCCATACCTTCCTTTGGTTTTGTTGGTGGCAGTGACCTCCAGGACTGATGGAAAACCTAAAGGTAATCCAGATAAGTGAACGAACACTCTGGTTAGCTGGGGGCGCCAGCAGAGGCAGGAGGATTGCTGCAGCAGTCAAGGCTAGCCCGTCCACACAGTAAGTTTCAAGCAGACAAGGAGAACATAGTGAAACGCTGCTCACCAAGAAAAAAAAGCAAAAACTAAACAAACATTAAAAATATTTGCTTACACTAATTTGTATTCTTTTCTTACTCGTCTTTGGAAATCTGTTTTATGACAGTCAGTAATTACTTTGAAATGTACTAGTAGTTTTGGCAATATAAAATAAATGTACAGCTTATTATTAAATGTACACTGATGTGTTTGTTACTGTTTCTCATTTTAAAATCACATAAGCCAGCTTTTTGGTTTTTGCTTATTAATGTTTTATTAGCATTTATTAGTTGTACGGAAACAGTTTCATTGTGGCATTTCATACATTATATAATGTATGTTGATCATGCTTATATGTATTACCTTCTTTACCTCCCTATCCTTATCCCTTCTTCTTTTTTCTACTTTAATATCTTTTTTTTTGTCCTTTCCTAAATTTCCATTTGACTTGTGTGTTTGTTTAGGTGAGCCAATCGTTGAGGGTGTCTAGGGGTGTGATAGGTTATTTACAGGACTGTATACCTCACCAAGTGGCTTAACAGTGGGAAGAAAAGTCTCTGCTTCCTCTAGCAACCATCCTTAGGGAGGGGTGGACCTCGTTAGACCCGCCCCTTCCATCTTTTAGGCAGGTCTAATGCGGGTACTCACAGGGGCCTTTGACTTCAGCATTCCACTGAGCCTGGGAGGGAGTGACAGAGATGTCCCATTCATGACTGGGCATTCAACAGTCAGTTATCTCCAGCCCTGCTCGGGTTAGGTCTCTGCGCTTCCTGCTGTCCACCCAGAAAGGCTGTTCTGAGCAAAGCTACAGGCGCACTCAGCTGTGGACATCAGCGGTCACTCAGAAGCAGCAGCTGCCACTTGCCCACCCCGCCACAGGCTTTTAGCCAGGTTCACAGCACCAGCTGTCAGTGCCTTCCTGCAGGGAGGATCCAGTACCCACAGGAAGCGTTGGTTGTCCCCTGAGACGTTCCAGTACGTACTTCTGGGTACACCCTGCCCAGTAGTGTAGGATCAGTAGTGTAGCATGAGTGTCCGAAGACCAGCCAGCATGGAGAAAGCTTCCCACCTGGAGCGAGCTTGAGATCTCCATGGCCTTCCATCGGAGCTGGCGGCTGAGTGTGTGCACAGAGATTCCTGCTTCCCAGGATAGGCCTTTGTCTCGCCAGCGTTCACGGGAGCAGTTTCATTACCCTCCTCCCGCTTGCTTATACAGGTGTTTCTACTTGCCAGTCACCGAAACAAATAACTCACCTTTTGATCGCACAGGCTGGGGTGTGAGCACATAGAGATTTTGAAAAGAATTACATGGGAAAATGTGAAAGGTTGCCATCCTCCAGTGCCTTGGATTGAAACAATAAACTTGTAATAATTTAGTACTGGCTTGGGTATCAGAAAGTCAAACTGGGTTTTTGGTAACTTCATGGTGAAATTAATTGAGCAATGTATTATGTGCCTGTCTTGTTGCTATGGCAAAATGCCTGACAGAAGCAACCTAAGGGAAGGCTTGTTTTGGCTCACAGTTTGAGAGAACCGCCCATCACTGCCGGGAAGCCGAGGGCAGTCCATCTTGTTTCTGAAGTCAGAAGCAGACAGTGATAAATGTGATAAATGGCTATGCTAAGCTAGCATTCTCCCTTTGATTGAGTATAGCCTCCAAGCCATAGAATGCCGCAGCCTATAACTAAGGCAGGTCTTCTACCGCAGGTCACCCAATCTAGTAAGTTCTGCACAGACAGGCCCAGAGGTTTGTTGCTATGGTGATTCTAAATGCCATCAAGATGATGAGATCACCATCTCAGGCAGTTCCCTCTGCTCGCGCGCTCGCTCTCTCTCTCTCTCTCTCTCTCTCTCTCTCTCTCTCTCTCTCTCTCTCACACACACACACACACACACACACACACCAGTAAAGAACTGTTTGGCTTTTCTCAGTGGAAGAATTTCTTTTCCATCCACTGTTAAGCGGTGAAGCCGCATCTGTCAGAGTGACAGTCCGCCTGCAAGTGTGCTCAGTAGTCGTCTGCTGGGCCTCTTGACTGCTCCCTAACTGGAAATGCCGGTCTCCCAGGAGGTGGGATCCTTTACTTTGTGTCCATGCACTACGTACATGCTTGCCTCTCGGTTGTAGCTTCTCCATGGAAACAAGCTCACAGAGGCTGACTCTAACCACCATGATGGCTGCCTTGCAGATCCGTGCTTAGCTGGCCAGAATTAAATCAGAGCAGCCTTTTTGTCTGCCTCAGTGATTGCCATAGCTGTTCCCATGCCCTGTTCTTCCTTGAGGAGGACAGAGAATAGAATGAGAAACAAAGATTGAAGGCTGAGGAGGCTGCTCAGTGGTGAAAACAGTGGAGTTCAGATGCTCAGAAATCCAACCGAATGCCAGGTGCTCACCCGTGATTCTGGCCCCAGAAGGTGTAGGTGGGAAGCTCCCAAGCACTGGCTAGCACTGCCGCCTCAATGGGAAAAAGAGAGCAGTGCAGGAAGATCCCAGCCTCAGCCTGGAGCCTCCACATCACGCACACAGAGAAGATGGGGGGGACTCTTGGGTTTAAACACCTTGGATGTTTTTCTCGCCTAGTTGCTGTCATCTCAGTGGAGGCTCTAGGGAACATCCGATCCAGACAGCGCTGTTCTGGTCTCTCCCCACCAGTCCCACAGAGTCAGCAGCCACTGCCTCAGGCACCGTTTCTTTCATCTGCGCTTCCTGACCTCTGCTCTGCATGATGCCAGCTCAGCTGTTGTTTCACAGATACTAACCGTATGATGTCATGGGCTCAAAGGCGAACATTCCGTGGGCACTCTCTCCTTGGAGAACTTGTCTGGTGTACCTCAGGCTGCTGTAGAGATACATGTCTCTCCACTCTCAGAACTGAGCCTCCTCAGCTCCCATCACCCAGAAGTCATTCCTCAGATGCTCAGGCACTGTTATGTCGACACTAGTACCCTTCATAGCGCTTGCCACTGTCAGAGATTCTTTTATTCCTGTTGGTTTTTCATACAGACAAATGATTGTATTGGTGCCCGCAGCAGCGTCTGCCTGGCTCATCTGCACATCAATAAATAGTTGCTGGACAAATGATGAAGAAGGGCCCCTTCTTCCTGTGTATTTGGCTTTGGTTGGACCGCTTGACCTCTTACTTAGAAATCCACTAGCGGAACGCTGGATTTCCCCAAGGATACGTTCAAAAGTAACTGTGGTTGACCGTGGGTAGAGTGAGCACACACAGACAGCACTTCTTCCTATTTTACAGAAAGTCTTCAGAGGAACTGGACATGGACAAGGTGACCGCAGCCATGGTACTAACCAGCTTGTCAACTAGCCCTTTGGTCCGAAGTCCTCCAGTGCGGCCCAATGGTAAGCCTAGGGTATGTGCTCTGGGAAAGACCAAGGCCTCTCTTGGGGACCTTATTTCAAATCAGGGGAAATGGAGACCCTGGACCACCGACCTCATCCTCCTAAGACCCTAGCATTCTCAGGTCCTCACCTGAGCAGCTCACATTTTCTGAGTTCTGTCACGTGTTTGCTGCCTTCCAAGGACACATCTGTGCAGTAGTTATGTTCTTTTTCCCCAGGCAAAGGGAGAGTTGTCTAATGAACTTGTTTTCCTCACATAATTTTTTTCTGATTGGGAGATAGTTGGATCAGTGCACTCACTGAAGATCCAGCAGTTTGTAAAAGCATTATCCCACACTTCATAACCAAAGAGAATTATTTAGTCCAGTCTCGAATTCAGTATCTACTAGGTACGACCTAGATGATTTGAATGTATCAATAGAGTATAAAGAGTGTCCATGCTCAGAGAGAGTACACAGTCTCTTTAGGAAAAGAAGACTCAGTCATGGCCTCATTAATAGCATACTAATTAAGCACTGACTTAATTATCTGCAGAGTATTCTGCTTGCTTTGTCTCGTTGTATTTCCACCAGCAAGCATATGAGATGCTGTTACTATCACTGCTTTACAGATAGGTAAACCAAGGTATGTGTGGAGTTCCCGTCTTCCTGATTCCAGATCTACCTTCCTAATCGTGGGTTGAAACTGCTTCATTTAATATCAGAGATAAACTGGGAAAGCAGACAGCAGGAGGCAAAGTTGGGCAGAGGACAATAGCAGCTTCATTGAGACAGGTCCTATATGCCTGGCCGGAAGTCTGTCTTCTGAGCCTTGAGCAGGCTGCTAAAGTGATCCATCCAGACAGTGGAAGTTAGGGTTAGGAAGTCAGGCTGCATACATGTTTGTATATGTGTACGTATACGTAGATGAACTTAGACACTGCAGAGGCACATGCACTGAGGTGCCGTAACCATTCCTGGTTAGTGGTCTGACCTTTTGGGGGCCTCTTGGCAAATGAACACCCAGAGTTGCCTTTCTCAGCCAAGCAGCATTGCTGGAGGAGGAATACTGGGGTGACCCCAAATATTCTAGGAATGACTTTGAATTCTTACAGGGAAAAGGATATTCTTAAATTAATCATTATTTTTACTATATGATTCTTTTTTTCTAGAACATTTCTACTGTTCCTTTGTATTTAAAGGTTAAAATTAAAATAAACCTTTTCATACATCAATATGCACTTCCTTAGCACAGCAATAGAGTGTGTCAGTGTTCGTTTATGGCTTTTAAAAAATAACAACATAGCTAGGCGTGATGGCAAATGCCTTTAATCTCAGCACTGAAAAGGCAAAAGCAGATGGATCTCTGTGAAGTAATGATGCCAGCCTGGCCCACATAGAGAGACCTTGCCTCAAAATATATAAAATATTTTTTAAAAAAAAAAATTATTCAGCTACTGAATTTGATGTTTCTCATTTGATTTGCAAAAGGAAGCAAATTTTTAAGTAAGGAAAGCAATTTATAATAGTAAATCCATTAGTTTTTAAGAGGATGAAAGCCATTCTCCAGAATTCAGGTCTATCAGTGAATTTGGGGTACCTGTTGTGATTCTTTTCTGTGACTAAGGAGAGTTTTCCTGTTAAGTGGTAGCTCTGCGAAGAGCTAAGAGCCCAACTGGGCCCATCTGCATGTTTGACTAATTCTCGCTTAAGATAAGGAAATCTGCAGCCTAGGAAACTGTGTTAGCTAGTCTTCCTGGCTAAGGAGCGAAGGAAGTATTCCCAGACTGGTAGGCAAATACACCGCTGACGTTCACGTGAAGTGAAGTAACATACCACCGTGACAATAGCTAGTTCTCAAAAGCAATTCCTTCCTCCTCGTCCTGCGACCACATACCCAGCACCTGGTTTTGTTGTGCAAGCCTCTGTGGAGGATGTGAGGATGCTGGCTGCAGGACCGCTGTGTAGGCTGTCTTGTCATTGGAGAGTAGTGCAGTCTGCTGTGTGCATCCGTCTCTCTCCATCAGGGAGGAAATATCAAGCTGGCGTTGTGATGCCAGCAGATGCAAGCGTGCAAAAAAGACCATGTAATTCTGCCAGAGTCTTACCCTCATAAAGTGGGCAACTTCTACTTCGATTCAAACTTAACGACTTTTACTAAACTTTTTGCTTGATGTAGCTGAGTAACTTCTGGAATTCTGTAACTAGGTAAGGGTAGGGATTTCTCTACAAATGCTAATCTACTCATTTTTGCTTCATTAGTAATTACACAGACATTAATAGGATTTTAATGAAGCATTTTGGGATTTCCTCTTCCCTCACAAGTAGAGTTTGAATATATTCACAATGAACATAAATATGGAAGAGAATTATCTAGAAAGAAAGTAGAATTTACATAAGTGCTAATCAAGCTTGGACATCTTGAAAGATAACGTTAATCTACAGTGGTTACAGGTCCCCTCCTCTGCCGCATAGGAAGAGATCTGTGCATCAGACTCCTACAGTTCAACTGAGCACAGTTCAGTCAGTGGGGCTGCCAACAAATGCAGATGGAGGATGCTCTGGAGGACCAAGGGCCTCCAGCAAACCAGGCCCTGGCCTCGGCCGCCCAGGGTCACTTACCAGTTAGAGAGCAGCAGGTAGATGAACTTCCTGTGCCACTGTCAAGTGGGGATGCTCTGCTCTGAGTGATAGGCATAACTGCTTGAAACTGCAGGTGAGCTCCATTAAGTAGAGGGAATGGGGATATACAGTGTGAACGCAGAAGTTGGGGAGCAAATAGGTGTGAAGGAAGGGACTAGTAAGACAGCCCAGAGGGAAGGGGGAGCGTGGAATGAGGTGTAGGACGCAGATGTGTGGAAATGCCATTATAAAGGCCACTATTTTACACACTAACGTTGAAAATTAAGGTTAAGGGCCTAACAGCAGTCAGAGTGAAAGACACCGTTACTTGTTTGCTCAGCACTTGTCTGGAAAGCGCCATTTCCGATAGTCTGAAGTCTTAATCTGATTTCTTAGACATACATCCCAAGAACCATAGTCAATGAGTAATGTCTTTTTTTAAAAAAGGGGGAATTGGAACCAGAGGGGGCAACTTGGTGGCTAGTACGTAGGATACCACATGCAGAAGCCTTGCAGCTAGCAAATCCAGAGGCCCCACAAGAACAAGAAATAACTATTATTTTCTTGTTTTTGTTTAATCTCCACCAATCCCGAGGAAAGGGTACTGCACATTAAAACACACATACCAGCGAGCCAGACAGCCATGTTGCATCGTTGCTAAAACAACTGCTTAGAAACTGTCACGTGATTGGGATAAGTGAGAACTCACTGCTTACAGCCTCTGTGGGTTACTGCATGCAGCATGGGCCCTTACTCGCTGTCCCCTGTGCTCACAGAGGGCCTCAGCGGGTCCTGGAAGGAGGGCGCACCCTCCAGCAGCAGCAGCAGCGGCTATTGGAGCTGGAGTGCTCCCAGCGACCAGTCCAACCCGTCCACGCCCTCGCCGCCATTGTCCACTGACAGCTTCAAGCCCTTCCGTAGCCCCGCGCCACCTGACGATGGCATTGATGAGGCTGAGGCCAGCAACCTGCTCTTCGACGAGCCCATTCCCAGGAAGAGAAAGGTGGGTTACGTGCCATGTTCTGTGCCCAGGGGACTGGTGCTTAGTCACTCAGCACCCAAGGTACTGGTGCTTAGTCACTCCTGAGACTGAGCACACACGCCATGTTCTGCTTTAGTTGTCTTTGACATAGCCATTTTCCCTGTCTCAAGACAAAAATGACTAGAATATCCACGGCCGTGCCCTGTCGGTGTGCATGTTCCATCCTCTGTGTGCATTGCTGTGTTTGAAGCTGAAATATTGGACTAAGACCTCCTGTCCCTAAATGCACTTAAAAGATAATCAGTATTTTTTTTCTCTTCTACTTCAGTCAGTCCAAAAGGGTTTGTTCATTTTTACACAACTAGATACGTAAAAGTTAACATGAATGTGTATGCTTCCATCTCAAAAAATTATGTTTACTAAACAAATATGTAAAGAAGTGCTAAGTATTGGGCTCAGTAGTTAACTGACTATAATCCATTTGTTCCTCCCGGCAGTACTTTATAGACTATATAGAGGTCCTGGGATGTATTTAATAATTTAATAATTGCCTGCAGAGTTCACCAGAGCCGCCATCCAAACCCATAGTCTCTAAATTCTCTTTAGTAATCTTGGATTAGCACCAATTTCAGGGTTTGGATTTTTTAACACGTATTTGTTCATGTTGTGTGTATTTGAGTGTGCGTGTAGAAGTTAGACACAGCTGGAGGGAGTTGGTTCTTCCCTTCTGCCATGTAGGTTCTGAGCCTTCTCCATGACCCTCACCCTCTGTGTATAGAAGCATTTTTAGTTCGGAGGCTGCAGCAACACTGCTTCTAAACCTAGAGAACATTACAGCATTGTTTGAAAATTATGTGACTCTGTATGCTGGTTTTAAAATTTTACACGGGTATTATCATTCTTAATGATGATTCATAAACAAAACAAAGCGAGGCCTTGAGGACCGTTGCAACTCTGTCCTTCCCTTAACGCATTCAGAGAGGAAAACAAAGAGGAGGCCTTGGTCCAGCACCCTTGCTGCCTCCCTCAGCATCACTCGGAACGTGTAGGGGTGGAAGTACAATAGTTCTCTTTGGGTATGCCCCAAGGAATAGGGCCACCGTGACTCAGAGAAGAGAGTCCTTCCTGGAGAAAGTGTCCTGAAAAGCCAGGTCTATGTAAGGGCTCCTCGAGACCCTGGGACTCACTTGATGACTCAAGGAGAGTTAGAGCTTGGAGCCATGGACAGCAGCCAACATGATTGACAGCTGTCTGGAGCTGAACTCTTGTTTAGCCTGCCATTCCCAGGGTATCTGGGCGAGCAGTCCTGACATCCGTGTGGACAGTGTGTGACAGAAGCTCATAGAACAGGGGCTCCTGTGCTTTTGTAGTGCATTAATGACCATCTTTTACAGATACGTTTATAGTGTGGTGTGGAACCAAAAGTTTTGTTCTCGCCTTCTGGTGAGACTGCGTCGGTCTGACTCAGGTCTACACACTTCAGCAAATTAGCAAACAGCTGAGTCAACGAAGGAAAAGAGGAGGAAGCCTCATCACAGAGTGGGCAAAGTGCTGTTGTGCAAACGTGTGGACCGGAGTTCAGATCTGCAGAACTAATTCATAATCCTCGTGGTCGACAGCAAGTGGGGAGATTCGCCAGACTCTCACAGGCCAGCTGCTCTGCTGTAGACAGAGTCTCTGCGGTAAACAAGAGACCCTGGTGTCTAAACATGATGGGAGGCAGGGACTGACACCAGCTTGTCCACTGACCTCCACTGTGGCATGCACACACCCATGCACATTCATTTGAAGGGCACAGGCTTCCTTCACAGAATGCTAGGTGGTAGACTAACCGGTCCTTAGAACTGTTTATTCTCTTGGTGTTTTCTTCCTCCAGGCTCAGCCTTCCCTAGAGATGAGGGAACTGATAGTCACTAATGTTTTACTGCTTTGGCCTCAAAATTATTTCGAGTAGTAAAAAAATAGCAAGAAAACAGGACACCTACTATCCATCTTTTTGTTTACTGGGTGAGCTGGTATTCATTGAGCACCACCAGGCAAAATGCTGAACACCCTGGAGGCAGGGAACAGCTGCTTTATTCAGAGGCTGAGAGCTGGGTGGGCAGAGGTTTATGCACAAAAAGGCTAGACTAGTTTGAGAGACAGAAGCAGTTCAGATGTTGTTGCAGGATGCAAGCGCTGTCATTCGGGTCTTTTACATTTCGAACCGTGTCTCAAAAGGTCTCTACAGAATTAATTTAACTTCATGCAATGCCACTTTTTCTGTCACAGTCATACCCTTTCTTTCTGGGCCAAATGGCTAGGCAGAATGGTTTCTGCAAAAAAGGACTATTCTGTCATCAACCAAGTGGTGACCTTAAAATATAGATCAGCATTTGCACATGCATCCAAGGAGTGGGCTCCCTCAAGGTGCACCTTGGCCCTGTTCCATGGAAACCTGGCAGAGTGCCTCAGTTTTGTGCGTATGGTAGACAGTACCCTGTCCCAGTTAAAAGACGAAACTGCCGCCTCCTCCTCCTCCTCTTCCTCCTCGTCCTCCTCGTCCTCGTCCTCCTCCTCCTCCTCCTCCTTCTCTCCCTTTCTCCCGCCCCTCCTTCTCCTTTCCCTTCAGTCCCTTTATCTCATTAAACTGACTGACTTAAGCTCTGTCTGCATGGGTTCTCCCCTGCTGTGGTTTGGACTCACCTGCTGCCAAGATCCCTCTCGTGCAGAATCATTACAAGAACTCCAGATGTGTGCATTGATAGCCAAGCTCAGCAATACCTCTGGGACAGTTGGAAAAGGAACGTTCCGTAGCATACCTGTGCACAGCCAGAAAGTGCGGTGAAGATGAAGAGTCGGCTCTGTGCTTCATTCAGTCACCTGTCTGCCTGAGGGTCCAGACATCTGTAGTCCTTGGTGCGGACTACCAAGTGCCAGAGTTACTGAACTGAAGAGTAATTCATTTGCCTGAGCACATTGTTCTTATTGGTGGAGTTTATCTTATTTTTCTGTCTATTCTTTTAGATTCTTAGTATGCATTTGAACTCTTGGTCTTTGCAGTGGTCACATATCTAGTGAGGTTGTTTGAGAAATTTCTAGACAAGATCCTTCCAGCATGGGAGTTTTGACTCACGAGTAGGCTGTGAGTCAATCTAATGAGAGATGAACAACACTCTTCACCCAACAGGACTGGAGAGAATGTGCTGGATGTAAGGTCAGCATTGTCTTCTCCGGTTTTCATTTCCGCTGTGTACTTACTTACGTGTGAGCAGATGCTGTGGGGGGCATTTCATACTATAGCTTATCATTACAAAAGTTTGGAAGCACCTGCTCCCTGTGCTGCATGGTAGATCTAAGTGCTGTGATCCAAAGTCAAACTAGCCGCATTCCAGCCTTAGACAGTGCTCTGAGAACCTAAGAAAGCCATTTTTGTCTCCCTTCACCTGCTGAGTCGTAAAGTTGGTCGTGTGCCTGTCGTACCTGGAAGAACAGTTGTGAAGTTGCTAAATATGGCCCCATGTGATGGAACATGGAACTGTTTTAATAGACCTTGTGTGAACTACGAACCCAGCAGGGAAAGTTTTCCCTGCACTCGTGATCTTTCTGACCTCCTGCAGGTGCTCACTGATAACTATTTTGGATCCATTTATGTAAAGAAGTTCAAAGTGTGAGTTGCATTGCATAGGCAAGAAAAGTGTTGTCTCTTACTGAGAAGTATTTTCTGATAACCCCTGTGTTTACATGTTTAGTCAGAGTTAAATGCAGCATTTCATTTAATCATCCCCCAAATCTCTGATACAACCTTATTCCCAGTTTGCAGGAGCAGCTCATTTTGAGTTGTGTGTATTGCCCAGTGTTATGTTGCTTGTATTCTGGCATAAGGACAGTGAGCTTGGCAGAAATAATAAAGACGATGCTCTTGAGGCAGAATGAGCTGGAGGATCTACTGATCCCTCGTTGCCCACAGAGGAGGGTGGCATGTGGGCAGCATAGTCAGCCGTCCCTGGACCAACACTCTGTGCTAGGTGGGAGGGAAACACTGAGAGTGCAGAGGAGACTGCGAGCAGAGAGGAGCGCAGGCCCTAGAGGCCAGCTTCCTGAGGGTGCCTCCTAGCAGACTTCCCTCTGGTTTCAGGTAGAGTGGGGCTCTGAGAAGGCTGCACTTCCTGTCATGACCACAAGGTGATGCAATGACCTAAGGTATGGGCACTCTGGTAGTCTCAGGAGAAAACCATTTCTACAGAAGGCTAAGAATTAACTCCTGGAAAGCCTGAAGTGCAACAAGTAAGGAAAATGTCAGATTCCTGGTTCCTTCAGATCTAGAGCCTGGACATCCTCTGAAGTTGGGGTGTCGCCTCTGGAGGTACCATGTTGATGAGACTGTTGTGCGGATTATGTGAAAAGATGGAAGAACGATAAATGCAGCCACTAGTACCGTGCTGTGGAGGGGGGGTGGGGGGGGAGCAGTGCCAAGCGGCTCAGGGTTACTGAGGCCCTCAGTCGCCCAGTGAACTCAGGTTGACGTGAGAACACTTTAGCAGCACAGTGAGGGTAGCTCTGGCCAGAACTGGAAGTGCACCAGGAAACCTGACACAGGACCCTCAGCAGCACCTCAGCGACACTTGGAGGCTCTGACTTTTGTCCCCTTTCACTTACTTCGTGGGTGTGGTGACTCCGGACATTTTACCGGGTGCAGGGAGAAGCTCTGTGCCAACACCGCGCTCAGGCAGCCGTGTGCTCTTTTCCCACAAGTTAAGCACTTGTTGCACAGATCACCAAGATTAGCCCCGCTGATTAGACCAGGAGAGGACCCGGTGCAGATGAGAGATCTGGGCTAACAGGATGCTGGACTGGCCAGCCTTGTGGCCTAGAAAGAGACCTCAGACGTCATCCACTGTCGTCCTGACCTTTCCACATGCAACCATTCGACCTCACCTACGAGGGAACAGGTGACCACAAGGATGAAATTTACGTCTAGAATCCATGGATAACGAAAATACACGACGAGGAATCTCTGTTAGCTCAGGAAACTGCTTGTT